TGAGTCAACCCTGAGCCGGTGAGATTTGAACCGCTGACCTGCTGATCTAGCAGTAGCCTGCAGTGCTGCATTTAACCACTGCGCCACCTTGGCTCTAAGAACAGAGTTCTTAGTTCCAATTACAGCAGTCCCCAAGTTAAGAACATCCCACTTACAAACAAGTAATATTTATGAATGTACTGTCTATTACTAAAAATGGTGGATGGCATTCTCTTTTTTCAAGCTGAAGAACCTCTGAAATCACACTGTTTGAGTGAATCCCCTAAGCTGTTCATTTTTAATATACAGCCAATTTTCACTTGTTTAATAGGCAGTCTGTTCGTAAGTATGAATTCTGACTTACATACAAATTTGACTTAAAAACAACCTTAGGAATGGATTTTTAACCCAAGTATGGCCTGTAGTTTCATCAGAATAATTAATTTCATTCTGCCTTCTAATATTACCTAATTTAGTTTTTTTTTTATGGTTACTGAATCTTCTTGAGGATTTATAACTTAGTAATATTGCATTTTTTTTGTAAGAAATTAAAAATGAATGTGTTGACTGATAGGCTTAGTGTTTCTAGTAATATCAACCTTCCAAAACACAAGTACAGTCTCTGGCTGCATAAGGCTAACTGTCCAGAGGTGGGTTCCTATCGGTTCAGCCAAACTGGTAGTAACTTGGCAGCCTGTGTCGCTGGAACTGGTAGCAACCCAGGCCTGCCACACCCCTGAACTGGTTCTTTCGGTGGCGCCGTAGGCAGTGCCATCTTGTTTTTGCCTTCTGCACATGTGCAGAGCAATTTTTGTTGCACTGTGTATGCGCACAAAGCGCATCTCTGAGCAAACTGGCAGTAACAGCAACCAGAACCCACCCCTGTAACTGTCCCTATTTAGTTTGAAATTTCCAAGTCCGTTCATTTCAGAAGGTGATCTCTGAAAAGATGTGAAAGTCTTCAAAAATACTGATTCAACAACAGTGTCTATATTACCTGTCCAACTTACCTGAGTCCCAATATCCAGGCCCAGACCTTTTGAATCAACTACAATAACAGTCAATATAGTTTGAATTAGCAGTGCAACAAAATTGTTGAAGCCAAACATCAAGGCATAGCGCTCCATACTGAGATTGATAGCAATCTGGAATCTAAAATACAAACTTTTATTAGAATATTGAATCTAGTTTTGAGTGATGAAGTTTCAGTATAATTTGGCTGCATATGAGAAGAGTATAACTTCATGAATTATGCAAGATATATTAGTAACTTACTGAAATATTGTAAAAGACTTGAGCTGGGGCAAAATTCGGAGAATATAAGTTATTTTACAAATGCAGTGTAAAATTATATCCACACCTCCACACATATACAGCACAATGTAATGAGTAAATTGCTTAACCTAGACTGACTCATTAAGATACAATAGCAGAGGTGTACTAAGGTTGCTAAAAAAAATTTCCAGAATCACTTTTATCTTGAGAATAGATAACTGAATAAGTCTTAAAATGCATTTAATTGATTTAGCAACAAAAGAATTGTTAATTGAAACAATGACATTACACATTCCATGTTTGTGTTAGCATTGATGCAACTTTTAGGCTCTGGAATAAACAGCTCAAAGGAGGGAGGACAAGTTTCCTTTAGACCAGTGTTTCTCAACTTCAGCAACTTTAAAATGTGTGCATTTCAACTCCCAGAATTCCCCAGCCAGTATGAGAGTTGAAGTCCATATATCTTAAAGTTGCCAAGATTGAGAAACACTGCTTTAGACAATCATGTATAGTACTTGGGATTTCACATGCGTTGTTAAAAAATAGAACTACGCATTTAAAAATAAAAATAAAAGAGGGACCTGGTGGCTAAGATGCTGAGCTTGTCGATCAGAAAGGTCGGTGGTTCGAATCCCTAGTCCCACATAACAGAGTGAGCTCCCGTTACTTGTCCCAGCTTCTGCCAACCTAGCAGTTCGAAAGCATTTAAAAATGCAAGTAGAAAAATAGGAACCACCTTTGGTGGGAAGGTAACAGCGTTCCGTGCATCTTTGCCATTTAGTCATCCCGGCCACATGACCATGGAGACGTCTTTGGACAACGCTGGCTCTTCAGCTTTGAAATGGAGATGAGCACTGCATTTCTACATGAAACCGCTGGGAGAGATCATCCGCAGGCACGGGATTAGATACCATCA